TTTTTTTTAATGGTTCTAAATGGCTTTTTATATTTTCTATTTAAGATTTTTTTATATATATATTTATGTATATGGGTACGTTGTCTGCATGTAAATCTACACACCAGAAGAGGACATCAGACAGTTGTGAGCTGCCATGGGAGTGGTGGGAATTGAACTCAGGACCTTTGGAAGAGCAGTGAGTGCTCTTAACCACTGAACCATCTCTCCTACCCTGTAAATGGAGTCTTTTTTTTAAAAAAATAAAATAAATTCTCATTGTTTTGTGTATGAGTTGCTTATGACTTTTTAAAAAAAATCATCTTTAATTTACTTTTTAAAAGAAAAGGAAGTAGATTTTATTCCAAAGAGTAGAAAGTCAATTTCAGTTTTTTCGGTTATTGAAGCAGAGATTAAACATTTGGAGGAGGAAGTCGTGTGTGGCACGGTGCTGGGTAAGCCTTGGTGCTGACCGGGCAGGCCTGCAAGGCGTCTGTAGTTGCTTCTTCATAATTTCTGATGACGTAGCTTGATATTTCCTTTAATAGCAATGATCACACAGGCTGTTTTGATGATTTTCCACCAGACCCTTTACAGACAGGTTTTCATCTGATATAATACAGCCTTGTGTGGGTGCCTGATCTTTATCAAACGATGATAGCGTGAACTTTTATTCGCTTTAACTCCGGACGCTACATAGTAATGAACGAAGGGGAGAGTCTAAAGGAGAAGCTCAGGACTGCATAGAGCATACAATGGAATCTGCCTTTAACCCTTAAGGGGAATATAGTCGGATGCGTCCTTTTCAGAATTGACTATAAACACTGATGTCTGCTTTGGTTGATTCATATCACCTGTGGTAGTGGGCACTGGGCAGCTGCTAAGGAAATGTGACTGGAATTGCATTAACAACATTTACTAGTATGTATGTATGTATGTATGTATGTATGTATGTATGTAAGTATTTAATGTGAGACAGGTTTCGTTGTGTACTCTTGCTAGCCTAAAGAATGACGCTTAAAACAAATCCCACACTAGCTCAGAATTGAGTATAATAGAGGGTTATTTATTTAGGGGTAGACTCACAGATCAGAATCCTCTGTTCCAATGGGGGACAGCAACCGAGTCCAGCAGCCGGGAAAGAGGCCGGATGTGCACTTTTCATTGGCGCTTACAGTATAAGAGGCCACGCCCAAGTGGGCGGGTAATTTAAAGGCTACTGGCAGTAGGGATTTCTACAGCCTTAGCCTGCAGCTTGCTTTATATATCTACCTGGCCTCGACTTTGTGGGGATCCTCCTGCCTCTGCTTCCCATGTATTTAGATTATGTAGGAACTGGGCCTTGAAACACGGCTTAGAGGTGCGGGGGCGGAAGGATTTCCACGTGGTGCTGCTGACTCACTTCCTCCCTCCCCCTCTCTCGCTTTCCTTTCCCTTTTCCCCCCCTTGAGACGGATATCACTATCTGGCTAGCTGGAACTCACTATATAGACCAGGCTGGCTTCAAACTCATGGAGATCCGCCTGCCTCTGCCTCCCAGTGCTAGGATTAAGGGCATGAGCCACCACTTAACCTAGATATTTCTTATGTTAGACAAGTTTTCTTGTAGGACGTTAGTATGGTTTTCCAACCATAGGGTAAAAATAAAAGTCAAAAGAAACAGAACCGCTTTTTTTCTTTTGTTTATTAGAAAAACAAGAAACACTTTTTTTTTTTTTTTTATTCAGGAGTATAATTTAGATTTATTTATTTGTTTCCCTTTGTTGAGGCAAAATCTCTCTCTGTAGCTCTGGATAGCTTTGAACTCAGCAATCCCCCTGTCTTAGCCTCCCAGGTGCTGGTATTATAACCATATGTTACCATTCTTGGCTTAAAAGTTTATTTTTAATTTGACAAATAATTGCATGTATTTATAGGGTACAATGGGATATACTGACAGAATGATCTTATCAAGCTAACTGACATACCTGTTACTTTGTATGCTTATTTATTTGCAGTGGGAACCTTTAAAATCTCTCCGGGTGTTTCTGAAGTATGTTATTGTCAACTGCACGGCAGGTCTCCTAAACTGACTCTTCCTCAATAGAATAGCTACCCTTGATTGACTTCTCCTTTGCCTCCCAAGCTCCCTGACTTTCAGTGAGTTTCTACTCTCTGAGAGTTGGACTTTTTTTTTTAAACTTATTTTATGTGTATTGATGTTTTGCCTGCATGTATATCTGTGTGAGGGTGTCAGATCTTGGAGTTATAGACAGTTGTTAGCTGCCATGTGGATGCTGGGAATTGAACTCTGGTCCTCTGGAAGAGCAGTCAGTGCTCTCTCTCTCTCTCTCTCTCTCTCTCTCTCTCTCTCTCTCTCAAGATTTATTTATGTATATGAGTGCTGTATCTATATGTACACCTTTATGCCAGAAAAGGGCATCAGATCCCAGTATAGATCAGAGCCACCATGTGGTTTCTAGGAATTGAACTCAGAACTTCTAGAAGAACAGCCAATGCTCTTAACCTCTGAACCATCTCTCCAGCCCTACAATCTGTGCTCTTAACCACTGAACCATCTCTCTAGCCCTCAGAGAGTTAAACTCTTAAAATTACTGCATATAATTAAGGTTATGGAATATTTATCTTTCTGTGTCTTGTTTATTTTACTTAGTGTGATATCCTTCCAGGCTTATACATGCTTTTGCAAATGGCAGAATTTTCCAAAAGATGTGTGTGGTTACTGAAATATGTTCATAAAATAGAAGCTACAGCCCCATCCTAGAAGATAGAATACTCATTTATTATAAGGATAACATATGAACGTCAACTTCATTCTTAAATATTCTATGAGCTGTGAAAATAACAAGATTTCTTGGCTTAATGGAGGTAATCATCTTAGACATATCAGACTCTCTCACTGATAATATTGCTTCTTATGTGATGTTTTGGAGTGATTTGAATAATTAGGGCACTAGACTAAAGGTCCACTGATTCAAAATGGGACACGGAGAATGGGTATTCCTTTTATACTTACATTGAGCCTCTTTGTTGTACTGCCATTTTAAAAAATATGGTGGTACACGCCTTTAATCCCAGCACTCGGGAGGCAGAGGCAGGATCTCTGTGAGTTCGAGACCAGCCTGGTCTACAAGAGCTAGTTCCAGGACAGGCTCCACAGCCACAGAGAAACCCTGTCTTGAAAAACCAAAAAAAAAAAAAAAAAATTGGCAAAACCACTTAACTATTCAGAATGTATGTGTTTAGATTGAAATTTTTTCATTAATTTGATGTTTTCCTTGTTTCAGATTTAGTGGAGTTTAATTTGGGTAGTCCCAAGAACGTTGGTCCCTTCCTTGCAGTGGACCAGAAACACAACATCTTGCTCAAATATCGCTGCCATGGTCCACCCATCCGCTTCACGAGTGTCTTCAGTAGTGAGCTTCACTATGTGGCCAATGAGCTGAATGGGATTGTGGGAGGGAAGAACACAGTGGTTGCCATAGCCGTGTGGTCTCACTTTAGCACATTCCCCTTGGAAGTATATATCCGGAGACTCAGGAACATCCGACGAGCCGTCGTCCAGCTCCTGGATCGAAGCCCTAAGACTGTGGTTGTCATCCGGACAGGCAATGCCCAAGAGCTGGGGCCTGAGGTCAGCCTTTTCAACAGTGACTGGTACAACTTTCAGTTGGACACTATCCTTCGGAGGATGTTCTCAGGGGTTGGAGTCTATCTTGTTGATGCCTGGGAGATGACCTTGGCTCATCACCTACCCCACAAGCTGCATCCAGATGAAGTGATTGTGAAGAACCAACTGGACATGTTCTTATCTTACGTGTGCCCCTTGGAGACCTAAGTGTCTACTAAAGGACTCCCATTCAGGGACCTTTCCAGTTGACTTGTAGGATAGAAAGTTTGTAATCGGCTCCATCGTGAGATGGATGCGATCAGTACGTTTGACATTTCAAAAAAAAAAAAAAAGAGCTGTACTTTGCATAGTGACTTGTAAAGAACTTAGGCAGTGTAGACTGCACTTGTGTGTCTACCTGTAGGATTTTTCCGTCTTGACATAGCCATTGTAGAGCTCTTATTAACAGCGTCTACACACTGTATTGCCCTGTAACCAAAGATGCTAACGAGTGTATTTGAGCTAGCTTCTCCCGGGGCGGAGATTTCTGTGCTAATGCCGACCTGAAGTGTTTCGAGTAAACAGAACGGATAGATTTGGTTGGCAGTGCTAGGTCTTCCATTTGCCTGGTAAAGGAAATGGAACATGTCTTCATGAACAGCACAAGGATCCCTCCTCAGGAACAGAGCATTTCTCGTCAGAGGTTCTCATGGCCACGCTGAAGACTGCTGTATCTCAGGAGTTTCTGTTGACTTTTTTCCCCCCTGAATCACTTGGAAAGGCCAATATGTGTGGTCAGAATTTTATAATAAGAATATTAACAATTTCCTGCTTTTGTCTAGGGAAGAAGCTAAACAGAAGAGCAGAAATCTGTGCTTTGGATTGGTATTCGCGTTTGATAATTATTTCTTACTTGATTCAGCTACGTTTTAGGTGATGAATAGTTATTCTAGAATGACTGCTTTTGGAAACAAATATGGAAACAGAAGTTTATTTTCATGTTCTGGAGCGTGTGCTTTTTGAGAACTGATTCTTATGTAAAGAATGCTGCTGAATGTCATAACATTGTAGACTTTCTCCAATCAGAAGTTCCTAGTGTTTCTCTTTCCTTTTAGCTGTCATGAAGCGTATGCTGAATTAGACATCAAACCAGATCAGAAATTAATAAAATTAGATATTAAAGTCCATGGTAGCTATTTTTTGATTTGGGCGTAAATTATACATGCACATTATCTCATGCTTGGAAGTAAAAAGCTACTATTTAGCTATCTGTTATTCCTGCTAGCTTTTCGTCTTTTTGGACTGTGGCTCAAACCCAAGACCTTGACCATACTAGGCAGGCACTCTATGGAGTTACATTCCTAACCCATTTCTGAACATCCAAAAATAAAAGGATTGGCCATTTTTATTGGACTTTGTCTTAATGAAATTAAAATTAGGATATTTAATAAGTAGTTTTCACATTACAAGAGGTTATAATTTACTTTTGCTTTCCCTAAACAGACATATATGAACATTGGGGTGTCTTAGGAGAGAAAGACAAATGCTTAAAGCAAGAAAAAAATGCACCCTCCAAAGAATGAAAAATTGGGGCTTGTAATGTAGAGGATTCAAGTTCTTCCTTTTCTACTCTCGAGGAGAGCAGTAAGTTTATAAAATATTTTGTGGGGAAAGTTTTATAATTGTTTTTGGAATCTGAGCAGGCCAGTGAAGCTAAACGTTTATGACAGCTTAGTTTTTGCAGAACTGAGCAAGAAACTACTGGGGCCTTGAGCATGCTAGGCAAGCTTTCTGACCCTGCACCAAACACCCAGTTCTGTTATTTTTTATAATTACAGAAGTCTCAGTAAGTTCACAGGTCGGTCTTGAGTTTGGTTTGTGGCTTTCATAGATAGGCTTTGAATCTGCTACCTTCCTGCCTTAGCCTCTCCAGTAACTGGACCTATATAGGCTTTGCCACTGGCCTGCTTGCTTTAAATGGTCCTTCAGCTTACAGTGTTTGATAAAAATGAATGAGAGGCTCTACCTCCAGGAATTATGGAATTAATCTTTGTGATAAATGCCCAGAGATTCTGATGCAGTTGTAGGGTTCCATATTTTGAGAAACAGTGACAAAGAAAAGATTGATCTAGAGAAGTAACATTGCTTTATCAACTTCTTAATTCTGGTCATGATTCAGAAATATAGGTGATAAACTAGGTGGCGGTGGTGATACACACCTTTAATCCCAGCACTCGGGAGGTAGAGGCAGGTAGATCTCTGTGAGTTCGAGGCCAGACTGGTCTACAAGAGCTAGTTCCAGGACAGGCTCCATAGCTACAGAGAAACCCTGTCTCAAAAAAACCCAGACCAAACTAAACCAAGCAAAACAGAAATATAGATGATATTAGCTCATTTTTTTATAGGAAGAACTCAAATTTGAATTGGACTAAGGTATGTGGAGTCCATGGCCCTGTTTAGCTACAACTTGTTTGACTTCTGTGAAGAGATTTTATGTTCGAGAACTTTTGTACATTTCCTTAGGGAGGATTTTGGGAGGAAGCCAAAGAATCCCTTTCCCAGTGAAGCTTCAAGGACTGTCCACCAGTGGTTTAGAGTGATTTCTATGGCTGGTTTCTTGTGACCTTGTTCAGTTTCTGCTTTTCAGTTTGCTGCACGAGGCCGTAGTGGGTTTGATGGCACAGTTTCTTGAAGCCCCTTTAGCGCTTCCGTCCCCTGTTTATCTTCACCCACTCTGGTGTGGGAATGTTTATCCAAATTAGAATGTCGCTTAGATATTTCCCAGCACAGTTAGATACAGGCTGAGCATTTCTAACCTGATTATCCAGAACTCTCCAAAATCTAAAGCTTTCTGAATCAATGAGTCACACAATGAGTCAGACAGATGTGGGGCTGGAGACGTGGCTCAGATTTTGGAGTATTTGCTGCTCTTCCAGAGGACTGAGCCTGAATCCCAGCACCCATGCCAAGTGACTCACAAACCACCAGTAACTGACGCTACAGGTGGGTCCGATGCCTAGTTTTTGTCTAGCTGCGTTCGTGTGGCATTCACTCACACCAAAACACACAGAAACAGACAGACCCACACACAGGCATAGACTAATAGACAGACAGACAGATGGACGGATGACCTCCCCCCCCCCCACAGGAACACACACATACACAGATAAAATACTAAAAACCAGGCGTAGCATATGCTTTTAATCCCAGTTCTTGGAAGGCAGAAGCAGGCAGATGCCTGTGGATTCAAGGTCAGCCCGGTTTACTAGTGAGTTCCACACTTTAACCAGAGTAACTTGATGAAACATTGTCTCAAAACAAACGCAAAACAAACAAACCAACTAAACCAAATGCGTACATACAATAAGAATATAAAAAGTCTTAAAAATAATCTTACATACAATAAGAATATAAAAAGTCTTAAAAATAATCTTTAGAAAGCAGACATGCTAAATGTTACATAAGATTTCCTTAAAGATATATATGTAAAGTATATGTGAGACCTACATTTCCTATTTAGGCTCGTGATACATTAATGTGTTATATACACATAGGTGTGTGAATATATATATCATACACACACATTTATATTCCCAAATCTAAAATAATTTAAAATCTAACAATTATGGTCTCAAGGACTTCAGATAAGGGCTTCTTAACCTTATAAACATTTTATAGGTCAGTTAGTCCCACATAGTTGTGAATTTCAGCATGCCAGATGACAATGTTTAAGTACACATTTCTCTTGATAAATACAAAGGTGATCATAGTTTTAAAGAACTACAAAATTTTAATTAAGGACCCAATCCATAAATCAGTTAAACATTAGCTAATTCAGTTGAATTCAAATGAACACTAGACATGCTTTCTTGTTTTTTTTTTTTTTAAACCATATACAATTGATCATCTTTATTTCTAGGTTCCATATCACTGGCTTAAGCGAACTTCACATAAAAATATCTGGGAAAATATTGCATCTATACTAAATGTATACACTTTTCCTGTCATTATTATATATAACCAATAAAGTGTAGCATCAATTTATATAACATTTACATTCTATTATGTATTATAAGTAAATTAGAGATGATTTAAAGTATGAGGGAGGATGTTTGTTAGACACGGATTCTCTGCCATTTTCTATAAAGGAGCTGAGCACCCACAGATTTTAGTTTAATTAAGCCTGAGTCGAGTATTCTCAGACTATAGTATCATTGATCCTAGCGCCCAAATCCTGAGTGATCGCTGGAGTTGGAATCACAGAGTACATGTCATTTGGGCCTTTACAAAATTAACCTATAGTATAAATATTTTTATATGTTGAATAGCCTTAATAATTACAAAAGTCTGCCTAAAATTGTGCTATCCAGTAACAGTTTTATTATGTCAGTTGGTCATTATGGTCGGATGTTTGGGATTGTAATAAAATACTGAAACTTGTTTATATACAGTTTTGTTGAAATAAAATATGAATTTGTGGGACTGGAAAGATGGGACAGCAGTTAAGAGCACTTGCTGCTCTCACAGAGGTTTGTGGGTTTGATTCCCAGCACCCACATGGTGGCTCACAACCATCTGTAATTCCAGTTATGGGGGAGAGGGGTTTCTGACCTTTTCTGGCCTCTGTGGGCACTGAATGCATGTGGACTACATACATACACACAAGGAAAACACTCACACACATGCAAATAACATTTATATTTGAAGTGACAGTATTCATATTACTGAGCGACCCATACTCCTGAACTGAAATGATTAATTTGCTGGTATTGTGAAAGGAAAAGCCCATAATAAGAACATTCTATGGGAATTATACTTCTAGAAGGTATTCTATTAAGAATAAGTTTTCTTGAGTTGGAGCAATGGCTCAGCACTTTTCTTGGGCTGGAGCAATGGCTCACCACATAAGAGTTTGGCGGTTCTTGAAGCGGGACTGGCTTGGTTCCCAGCATTCCATCAGGAGGCTCTCAGCGGCCTGCAGCTCCAGCTTCAGGAGATCTGGCCCCTCCACTTCTATCTTAGGCACTAGCACTCACTTGTACATACTCCTTCGCATGTATACATGAAATTAAAACAATCCAGCGGATACAGAACCGATCCTAGGTATTCCAATGTATGTCAACCATTTTCCCACCCAGTATATTAATACCACCTGACAGACTTTCTTGTCTAGATAAGTTTCAGATGGATAAATCAGAGTCCTTGGCAAGAACAAATACGGTCAGCCTTTTCATATTCCTGGGATACATATAAAAGTGAGTCTCCTGTTTCTGGACCCAGATGAAAAAAAAAATGACAGCCACTGAGTGGGGACAGGGAAACACACTCTGAAGGGAGGTAACAAGACGTCTTAATTCTCCTTCACAATGCAGTTAGGATTATTTTACAATGCAGGGTCAGTGTACTCAGAATAGCTGCTACACAGGTGGACAATAAATACGATTTTGGAATTGCTTTTCCTCTTTCAAAGTGAGTCTGCAGTGCCTGGTGCACTTTGGGAATCCTGGGGCAGTTGAGAGGCAGCGAAGGACCAGAAAGCTGTTGAGGCAGAAGTTTAAGGTACAGAAACCAGGGTAGCAATAATGTACTTCATCAGTTCTGCTTAACCCATCCTTTTAAAATGCACCTACCTTTAAAATTTTAAAATAATTTTTATTAAATGGTGTCTTAAATATAGAGTTGAAGCATGAGGATTAAAAGAAAAAGAAGCACTCAGAAAGAGAGAGAGAGAGAGAGAGAGAGAGAGAGAGAGAGAGAGAGAGAGACCTATTGGTGTGGGCATCTCTGAGACAGAACTGCCAGAAACTCACTTTAGGATATTTATCTCTTTAAAGAATGCTAACCAGGCCAGGTGGTGGTGGCACACGCCTTTAATCCGAGTACTTGGGAGTCAGAGGCAGGCGGATCTCTGTGAGTTCAAGGCCAGCCTGGTCTACAAGAGCTAGTTCCAGGACAGGCTCCAAACCTACAGAGAAACCCTGTCTTGAAAAACCAAAAAATTAAACCAAAAAAGAAGAAGAATGCTAACCAGGTACTGGGACTGGAGAGATGGCTCAGTGGTTAAGAGCACTGGCTGCTCTTTCAGTGGTCCTGAGTTCAATTCCCAGCACCCGCATGGTGGTTCAAAACCATCTACAATCAGATCTTATGTCTTCTTCTGGCATAAAGATGTACATGCACTAGAGCACCCATATACATAAAATGAATAAATCTTTAAAAAAAAAAAAGAATGCTAAGGGGGCTAAAGAGATGGCTCAGCTGTTAGGAGCACTGAGGACCTGGGTTCGGTTTCCAGCACCCACAGAGCTCACAACTGTCCGTGACTACAATTTCAGAAGAACCGACACCCTTATACACGCATACACACAGGCAAAAAGCCAATGCACATAGAAACAAATAAATTCTAAAAATGCTAACTGAAATGCATCACATACACACAGAATTTCCTTTTTAATTATTTTTTTTTAAACAAACGAGAGCTGGTCAGGCCTCCTGAACTCTAAGCAGCTGAAGTCATAATATGGATGAGCATTCTTACTGCCCCTATAGGACCCTGGGTGTTTCCGCTGTAATCACAAAACTAAACTGTAACAAGGATGCCTGGAGATGATGAAAGAGAAGAACAGAACCGAAACCACCGCAGTGAGTGTCCCAAAACTGAGCAGTGAAACTGGATGTCGGCAGAAACCCCTTGGGTGTTGTGCAATGACTCGCCCGCAGTTAAGCCCACTTCCCCCATCACCTGTACCAGCATTTTCATCCAGCTAGCGAGCCCTGTTTCATTTGTGTTGCAGATTATGAACACACAGCAGAGATGCCCCTTTCTGAGTGCCATGCTCACAAAGCTGAACTGGGGAAACTAATCCTCCAGACAATTCCATTTCCACGCCTAAGAAGCAACAGTGATGAAGTGACGTTCGGGTACTCAACTTCATATGGAAAAGCAAAAACCCAGGGTAGCCAAAACAATCCTGTATAATAAAAAGAACTTCAGGAGGCATCACAATTCCTGACTCCAAACTCTACTACAGAGTTACAGTACTGAAAACAGCCTGGTATTGGCATAAAAAACCAGACAGGAGGACCAGTGGAATTGAATCAAAGACCCGATGATAATCCACACACTTTCAAGCACCTGATTTTTGACAAAGAAGCAAAAAAAAAAAATTCAAATGGAAAAAAAGAAAGCATATTTAACAAATGGTGCTGGTATAACTGGCTATCAACATGTAGAAGAATGAAAATAGATCCATATCTATCACCACGCACAAAACTCAAGTCCAAATGGATCAAAGACCTCAACATAAAGCCAACCACGCTGAACCTCATAGAAGAGAAAGTGGGAAGTACACTTGAACGCATTGGCATATATATATATACATATATATGTATATATATATATATATATCCCCAGCAGCACAGACACTGAGAGAAACAATTAATAAATGGGACCTCCTAAACTGAAAGCTTCTGTAAAGCAAAGGACACAGTTATCAAGACAAAACAACAGCCTACAGAATGGGTCCTGGATGGATGGCTGAAATTTCATCTTACACCCGTAAGAATGGCCAAGATCAAAAACACTGACGACAACTTATCCTGAAGAGGTTGTGGGGTAAAGGGAACACTTCTGCATTGCTGGTGGAAATGCAAGCTGGTACAGCCCCTTTGGATATCAGTGTGGTGATTTCTCAGAAAATTAGGAAACAACCTTCCTTAAAACCCAGCAATACCACTTTTGGGTATATATCCAAAGAATGCTCAACCGTGCCACAAGGACATGTGCTCAACTATGTTCATAGCAGCATTCTTTGTCATAGCCAGAACCTGGAAACAACCTAAATGCCCCTGGGCTGAAGAATGGATAAGGAAAATGTGGTACATTTACACAATAGAGTACTACACACAGAAAAAAAAATAAATAACGACGCCTTGAATTTTGCAGGAAAATGGATGGAGCTAGAAAACATCATTTTGAGTGAGGTAACCCAGACCCAGAAAGACAATTATATTATGAGTGAGTACTCATAAGTAGTTTTTAAACATAAAGCAAAGAAAACCAGACTACAAATCACAATCCCAGAGAACCTAGACAACAATGAGGACACTAAGAGAGACTTACATAGATCCAATCTACATGGGAAGTAGAAAGTAGAAAAAGACAAGATCTCCTGAGTAAATTGGGAGCATGGGGACCAATGGGAAAGGGTTGAAGGGGAGGGGAGAGGCAGGGAGGGGAGCAGAGAAAAATGTAGAGTTCAATAAAAATCAATAAAAGATATATAAAAAGAAAAAGTGACGTTCGGAGAGAGGGCTCTAAAGAGGAGGCTTAATCCCCTAGATTTCCCGGACACTGGGACAGGCACCGGGAAAACCACTAGCGAGGCCACTCGTTCCTCAGTGAGGCTCCAGTCCAGGTCTTGGAGCTGGCCCTCGCGGGGGAATGTCCCGGACTCGGGTCGGTACCTTTTTGGCCTGGGAATTTCCAGCTTGCGGAAAAAAGTCCACAAACTTAGTCCTCGCTGTCCCCTTCGCCTCCTCTGGCCCTTCTCGGTGCCCACGCACCCCCCGATCGAACCCGAGGATGAGCATAGGGTGTATTTTAGGCGAGCTTGGGCTTCCCCGCCCCCTCTGCCCGCTTAGCTGGCAAGAAGAAAGCCAGCGCTATAAAGGAGGCCGAGGTCTAGGGCTGGCTCCTCCTGCCACGAGGTCAGACGGCGAGCTCTAGAGAAAGGGGCTGCTTAACTGCTCCTTATCATGTAACCTCAAAAGGAAGCCGATCAACCTTCTGATGCTCTCACGTACTGGGGCATTATCGCTGCTTACAGTTGGAAACGGTTGATTTGCTTTTACGTATTTGTGTGACTTGAATCTTCAAACACAAAGGTATACTTTCATTATTTGACATTTAATATGAAAGGGTATTTGTTTTAGGATTTATTTGTTCAATGTTTATGAGTGCTATATCTAAACGTATGCTTTTATAAGCCAGAAGAGGGCGTCAGATACTACTAGGGATGGTTGTGAGCCACCATATAGTTACTAGGACTTGAACTCAGGACCTCTGGAAGAGCAGGCAGTGTTCTAACAGCTGAACCATCTCTCCAGCCCATGAAAAGGTTTCTTAAGTGATAAACTGCCCTCGACCAGTTCCTTTTCCTTATTCTTTCTTTGGGAGCTGTCTGCTGTTTAAATAATAATATTTGCTTTGTGGCAAAATATTTTAGGACAGTTTTTTTTTTGTTTGTTTTTGGAGGGTGGGCTCCAGGATGTTTTAATATTTTGGTAATAGCGTAAATTATGTCTGTTTGCCTTCAAGGCGCACAAAGAACTAAGATTCTGGGGGAGGGAGCATATGATGGGTGATGAAGACCTTGGAACTCTAATGTATGAATTTATCTTTAGCCAGTGATGGAGAATGTTGGTACCCTAAGGTGGAAACTT